GACGCAACCGTATCGAGAGCGCCACCCAAAAGGAGCCGGACAGCCATGGAGGTCACCGAATGGAGGGCGAACGGCACAATACGAAAAGGCAGGGCAAGGCGGATGGAGAAAGAAGTGCCGAGGAGGCCATGGTGGAGGGGAGGGACGGGAGGACGAAAGAAGGGCGAGGAGGACGAGCGGCCCGCACAGGCCGCGAACAGACAGCGCCTGCTGGCCATCTCGAGACATTCGCAAAGAACGCTAGCTACATGGGAGGGCTTCGTGAAGGATGGATTGAAAAACATTCGAACAAAGAAGAGGCGACGGGAGGAACCGGCAGAGGATGCAGTGACGTGACACACACACACACACACACACACACACACACACACACACACACACACACACACACACACACACACACACACACACACACACACACACACACACACACACACACACACCGCTCACCCACGCGCACCGGGCCTTGCACTTTAAATGCCGTGGGGCTCCTGTCGTTAGACGTGGAGACGCGAGGGTTGCCCCCCCTTGCCCCACCACCTCGTGTGTGTGGAGAAGTTTACCTTACCTTATCTTACTCTAGTCTCTCTACGTTCCGCATGTCATGACCGCACATAATCAACAGCGCTCGAGCTGTCGTCGTCGGCTGCGGGACCGACCAGCCCACGGTACCAGCGTGAGGCGGGGGAGCTGCGCCCGGTCGCCGCTGCCGCCGCCGCCGCACCCAACCCCGCCGCCCCCACCACCGCCGCCGCCGCTGTCACCGCCACGTGGCCCTGGAGTTTCTTTTCTGGACCTACCGCCGTCGCCGCCGCACCTACCGCCACAGCGACCCTGCCATCGGCAGGTGCTTCGAGCGGGGGGCATCAGGAGGCACACGCCGTGATGTCGGTGGCAGGGGCGGTGGAGGTGGCGGCGGCGGCGGCGGCGGCGGCGGCCAAGGCAGCCGTGGCATCGGTGGCGGCTGAGCTTCTTGTAGCGGCGAATCAGCAGCAGCAGCAACAGAGGCAGGATTTGGCAGCTGAGCTAGCAGCAAATCAGCAGCAGCAGCAACAGAGGCAGGATTTGGCAGCTGAGCTAGCAGCGAATCAGCAGCAGCAGCAACAGAGGCAGGATTTGGCAGCTGAGCTAGCAGCGAATCAGCAGCAGCAGCAACAGAGGTTGGATTCGCATGAGAAGCAGCTATCGGAGTTGCAAACCCAGAAGAAGGAACCGCAACAGCAGCAGAGGAGGTCGATGTTCTCCCTGGTGAGCCGCAAGGGGCGCGTCGCCAAGGCGAGCTCGAAAGTGTGATTGCGATTGATCCTAGTTCCTCGAGGTAGAGTAAAAGCCGTACTTGTTCGTGGTGTGCGTGTGTCTGTACGGTAAGTAACATGTTCCACTGGGTGCGAGTGCTCCTCTGCAGCCATGACCCGCCCCCGCTGAGCTCTTTCCTCACCATCTCCCGACCAGTAATAATGATTTCTCCATGCGCACGGTGGCTAGTTCCATTTCACTCTGACACGCTAATCTTGAAAACGTCCAACGGAGCTCCGTGTTGCTCCCAGCGCCCTCCCCCGCGCTTCCTGCGGCCATGGCCGATGATACTAGTATGAGAGGTCATCTGGCTACCGCGAGCGCGACTCAACTCGCCGACGTCGTCCGATGATTGTGCCTCAAAGTCAGCCTCCGGAGGCTATCGTGGGGTCGAGCCGGCAGTAGCCGTGACATGTGGTTCCACCACCCCTCGTATGCTTTGCCTCTGACCGCCACCGTTCCCAGGCTGCCAAATGGGATGGAAAGGAAGGCTCGGCGAGCGTATAGAAGCGTGCTCGACCTCGTCGTGGCAACCTGCACGGCAGCGCTGGCAGGCGCGATGAGCGTCGTGCCACCTGACCCGAGACGGGTCGCAGGCGTCGTACCGAGCGCGTCGAGACCGTGTCCTGATGTGATCTGCACGGGTGAGTCACGTCGGCGTCAAAGGAGCGACGTGCGACCTGTCAGAGCTTGATCTCCGATCTCAGCGGCGTCGAGTCGTCTCCGGCGCGCGACAAAGGTACATACCCAGGACGCGCAGAGGCAGCTGCGACCCAGCCGAGTGGACGGTAACGTACCGCG